ATCATTATGAAGTACACACACACTGGGGCTAATTATGCATTATTAACGCTATTACTGAAGCACGCTGACTAATTCCACATGGCACTGTTTGCTTTCTTCCTTCAACTACAGTTTTACTGAATGTTTGGGAGATGAGGCGTGAGAACAGGTATTTACAGACAGAGCTGCCACATTCCCAGGAAGGTTGGGAATGCCGAGAGCTGTTTTGCGTCCCGCAGCTCTCTGCGGTGGGAGAAAATCATAACTATGAGTTCAGGAGTTATAAAACTAAGACAACTTTTGAAAACAACTAAAGCGAAAAACTAAACCTAAATAAAGCACTAATAATATAAAAACCTAGTGCATGTGTTAAAACACTCCTCTCCTGCAGATGGCGATATGGAGTCAAAGTGGCGATACACTGAGCTTATGAATTGTTTCTTCATTGGGATTCTATTGTACACTATTTTATTACATTTAAACATCTGTGTAAATGCAATTAAAGTGTAAATAAGGATTTAAATTCAGAAGGTTTTGCTTAGTTTCCATGTCGAACTGTCAATGCTGACTCCTCAACTGTTTTTTTAAACAATACAAACTAAAACTAAAATATATATAAAAAGATTCAATAACTGATTCTATACCAATAATTACTAAAACTAAAATATGAAACTGAAATATATTTATACAAAATCATAAAGTGATTCGTATCAATACTTATTATAACTAAAATGTGAAATATACATATACATGACAAATACTGATGAAGTGAATCTTTATACAAAATATATACAAAATTGCTCATGAACTGATGAATTATAACTTAAAATAAAAATAATATATAAAATTTTGTAAAAAAAATTTATGTGTTTAATGTATTTATGTGTATATATTGATATTTATATTCATATAAATTATATCATATATAAATATATCGAATATATAAACGTAACATTTTTCTTAAATATATACATGCATGTGTGTGTATTTATATATATATATATATACATAATATTTATACACAGTACACACACATATATTATATAAAACTTTTATTTTGGATGTGATTAATCGCGATTAATCATTTGACAGCACTAATAATGATTAAATATAATTATTAAATTACTAACAATAAAAAATATTTAGATAAAAATATAAAAATAATATGTAAAAATATGTTAATGAACTGATTCTTCAACATTATAAACTAAAACATATGAAACTATAATATATATATATATATATATATATATATATATACATTTATAAAATGTTGTAAAAATATGTTAATGAACTGATTCTTCAACATTATAAACTAAAACATATGAAACTATAATATATATATATATATATATATATATATATATACATTTATAAAATGTTAATGAACTCATTCTTTAACTATAATTACAAAAACTTACACTAAAACATAGGTACACAGATATATAGATGCAGTATATTTATAGATATATTGACACATAAAAAAATATATCCATGAAAAACCAAAACTGCAATTAACAAATTTTACTGAATAAAAAAGTAAATAATAAAAATATGATTACAATTTAAAATGCTAAGCTATAAAATATATAGTAAATGATTTTGTTCAACTAAAAATAAACATCCCTCTTGTTCACAATGTGTGGTGATTTTTAGTGCAACAGAATAAAGAGACATCAGTAGTGCAGCCAGTTTTTTTCATGCTCACACCGACAATGATGAGAAATACCGCTGAGTCACACAAGCCTAATGCTTCAAAACTGGCTAAATGAGCAGAGCTTTCTGCAAATGAAATCATAATTATGATGAATACCAATTATCTTCCACCATGCTTCTTTAATTGACATGCACCTAACCTTGAAAGTCATGGCTGACAGAAAACCTTGAGTTCATCTCATGAGTATGATGTTTAACTGGAGCCTGTGGGAATGTATGGAGATGCTGCTATATATATAAACTCTCTCAGGGTTAAAATAACACGTGACAGACCCCCATGTAAACAGTGTTGACCCTTATATATGTGTGCGGAGGAAAAGCTGAGCTAACTGGGCTGTGTCATTGAGATTTGACAGGTATGCAGTAAATAAACCAGCTAGAAAACCAGGCCAGATTATACTGGTCCTACTTCAACTCCCTTAACTATTCACACTAATCTAAAGCATCTCACTTACAATTACTAACCAACACAAACAGCATGCTCAGAATGGCACATCAAATATTTCCCAAGGGAAAAATATGTGGTATGCAAATTGAGCTTGATCTCCAGTGTGCACAGGAAGTGATATTAAGCTAAATTCCCTTGTTTTTACTCAAAATTTGACTCCAAAAGGCAAAATAATCACTTTTTTTCCCGAGATGATAACTGGATGGCACTTGCTAAATTAAACACAATTTTGTGCTTAGTGATGCACCGAAATTAATGTTTTACAATTTAAAGCCTCCATTTAGCCGAACATCGAAACTGAAAATAACGTTTAGTTAATAATCAATTAATTAATCACATTTATTTCATTGTTAGCAATCAAACAAATTGTATACAAATACTATAAATTTCACATCTTTAGAAAGAATATTTCTAAAAAATATATATATTTAGAGATCAGGGTGGCCAATATTATGTTCATATATGAATAATTTATTTTAATGATGCAAATGTGATGCAAAAAAAAAGGTAAATTTAAATATAGTAATTTTATCCAATATTCCTTCAAACTTTGATTAAAAATATATATATAATAATATAGAGTAATATTATTATAATATAATTATAATATATAATCATATTTCGATTTTTATAATAATAATAATAATAGATTAGTAATATATTCATATATTAATAATTAAATGTAATTATAGCAAATGTAATGCAAAAACATTGCTAAAATGTACCCAATAGTTATTCAAAATTCAATAAAATTATATAATATTATTTATTTATTTTAATAATTATTAAATGATTAAATAATTATTATGCTTTTATTAATAGCTTGATTAAAAAAATTATAAATCAGAGAAGTGCTAATTAAACATCACTGTTTTAGTCAATGATTTCAGCCCTCCAAAACCATTTCAGCCGAAACGTAATTATTTTTTTTTTTGCCGTTTCGTTCAAAATTTTTCAGTGCATCACTAGTTGTGAGACATCAATGTGAATGTCTAGCACCACATCAAAAGAAATCCCATTTTATACACTACTTTACAGTACATGAGCATCAGCTGTCACTGCCTAGTCACTGGTCTCTGAGCGGCCTGCATGACGTCATGTGAGCAGAGCGATACAGTGCTGTGCCACAGACAGCTGGCATTCGACTGGCGCCTCCCTGCTGCACACAGCTGTTTGGAAAGCTCTGATGTCTCACGCACTCCTGTGACCAACACAATCCAGTGTCCAGTGATATGCAGCTAAAGATACACACAGACAACACTGCCAACTCTGTCCCTGCCCAGCACAGAATCTGCACTACACGCTACTGACAACACACGAGCACACATACACACACAGTTTCTGTACACTGTGTTTATACAGCACACACACACACACATATGCAATTATCTCAATTCAAAATGCATGAAGCAAATTTGACGACACACATGCTGCTTTGCTTACATACATAATTTCACATAAAAACACAGACAAAACATGAAATTTCCATAGAAAACATCTTAAGTAAATAAATAAAAGATTCCCTCATTTTTGACCAACGAATTATGACTGTTCCAGAGTTGTGTATTTATAGCATAAGGATTAGACATCAGGGTGGCCAATATTATGCTGATATATGAATAATACAATTTAACGATACCAAATGTAATGCAAAACATGCTAAATATAACTGAAGAGTAATTTTTTTTCCAATACTCATTCAAAGCTTTAACTAAAAATGTATTTTATTATTATTAATATTACATAATAATAATATATTACATAATAATAATAGATTTGAATAATATTAAGAATGGATTGTACCAATATTACTTATGAAATGTGGCATTTCTGAGTGAAACAAAATAATAAATGGAAACAATAATATTTAAAGATCATGGTGGCCAATATTATGTTCATATAAATGAATAATTTAATTTAATGATAGCTAATGTAATGCAAAAAAATTTATTTTACCCAAGATTCACTCAAACCTCAATTAAAAATATTATAATAATATTTAGAGTTTTTTTATTAATAATAATGTTCATAAATGAATAATTTAATGATAGCAAATTTAAAGAAAAACTGCATTTTACCCAGTACTCAAAAATAAAAATATATATAATATTTAGATTATTTTATAATTAAAAATTACATAATATTATGATAATATTTAGTTTTTTTTTTAATAATAATAATGTTCATAAATGAATAATTTAATGATAGCAAATTTAAAGAAAAACTGCATTTTACCCAGTACTCAAAAATAAAAATATATATAATATTTAGATTATTTTATAATTAAAAATTACATAATATTATGATAATATTTAGTTTTTTTTTTAATAATAATAATGTTCATAAATGAATAATTTAATGATAGCAAATTTAAAGAAAAACTGCATTTTACCCAGTACTCAAAAATAAAAATATATATAATATTTAGATTATTTTATAATTAAAAATTACATAATATTATGATAATATTTAGTTTTTTTTTTAATAATAATAATGTTCATAAATGAATAATTTAATGATAGCAAATTTAAAGAAAAACTGCATTTTACCCAGTACTCAAAAATAAAAAAATATATAATATTTAGATTATTTTATAATTAAAAATGACATCATATTATGATAATATTTAGAATAGATAATGGAAGCAATGGAACATTTTAGATCTGAGCTTAACTAGAAATATGAATATTTATTCAACCAATTACAATGAATTCTTTTATGAATTTTCGTGACTATTTCCTGGTCATCAGTGACTGTACGAACCCTGACGTCATCAACAATCTTCTATTCTAACCAACAAAAACAAACCGAAACACACACATCTCTGAACTGAATAACAGCATGTGTGGTCACTCACCAGTCGCACCGTCAGGAAGCTTCCTCAGCGACGACATGATCGCATCTCCAGGAACGCGAGGACTCTCCACATACTTGGGCTTTCTAACAGGTCCTTCAGAACGAAAAGAGATGTACAGTATATAATCAATCGGATCTCAATCAGAAAGGAGTCTTATGTGAGGGTAAAGAGCGGGTGAACTCGCTGCAGCTCTGGGAATGTAAACTACAGCAGGAAACCAGTGCAATTCTTAGGAGACGGGTGTGAGATCTCTGTGTGATAACGTGTGCGTTTCTCTCGCCAAAACTGGCTCTCCATCTAATCGTGCATGCACACATTATAAAAAATACTGTGGTTCCTCTACAAGAGCCTCAGACTCTATTTAAGGACATGAAACAGCATTCCCAAACAATTTTACTTACATAATGTGAAGCAGAATAATAAATGTATGCTCAGACTTGATTTGATCAATTAATAAATACATTTATTTGATCAAAAATACAGTAAAAATTGTGGAATATTATTACAATTTAAAATAACTGTTTTCTATGTGAATATATTGTAAAATGTAATTTATTTCTGTGATCAAAGCTGTATTTTCAGCATCATTACTCCAGTCTTCAGTGTCACATGATCTTCAGAAATCATTCTAATATGCTGATTTGCTGCTCAAGAAACATTTCTGATTATTATCAATGTTGAAAACAGTTGTGCTACTTTTGTGGAAACCGTGATACATTTTCTTTCAGGAGTTTTTGATGAATAGAAAGTTCAAAATAAATAATTACAAATAAAAAAATAATAATTAAATTAAATTTAAAAAATGATTATAAAGCCGACCTTTTTAACAGTAGTGTATGAGAGAAGTCAACATATTTTAAAAAGCATATTTTGGGGACAACATGCACAGATAAATCAAGCACAATACGACCAGAAACACATATTGAGAAAGTGAGTTGGGTCAATTTTCATTTAATTTGTTAGTTACATTGCTTACCAGCTGCCGCTAGTAGTCACGGCAACACTAACGTCAATTACACAAATATGCAGCAATTTGGTCCAAAACAATGTGTAAAAAAACAGCCTCAGGTTTGAGATGAAAGGCATCTGACACACAAAATGTCGTGCCATCCTGAAATTCCTCTTGGTTGAGCATATAAAAGAAAGCGCCCTTCAAATCCTGCTCGACCCCCATAAAGCTTTTAGGTTTAAGTACGTTCCTCTGTTTATCATGGAAACCCCTGGTGAGATCAAAGACCCCGGCGGCCCGTGTGAGATCTGACCAAATAAAGTAATGGAGTAAAGAGCAGCCGCCGGCCACGGGAGCCCTCATAGCGGAGACATCCATCAGATCTCCGCTCTGCACCTGCATGACTTTGACCTCCAGGAAGCAAACACAGCGCTCACAGATGACAAATGAAACAGCCACGTGTGTAAAGACAGACATAACTCACAGCTAGATGAAGGGATGGTTCAAGTGAAGCTGTTAAAGTTAATATAAAATCATAACTGACCCTATTTATTTTCTTATTGTGAACATTATGATGCAATGAGAATCTTTTATCTTAATGCAATTACTTGCTTCATCTTTCTTTTCAGATGACAACACAAATTCTCAATTCTGATATGCAACACTCACTTTTCAAGATCCAATAATAAAAAATATATATTTTATAATAATTTTTTATTTACTCAACAGTTTCTCCTAAATGGTAATTTAATCCTAAATGGAATGGAGATTAAAAGTTTGCTGAAGCCTTCTGCTTCTTAGCAGGGTTATTACTGTTAAATAAAATTAAAACAAACCATAAAAACAATAATCACTTGAAATAAAACAAACATTAACAGAAATAAAATAAAATAAAACACATTTTAATTAAGCAAGTTGCCAAAGAAACATTTTTCATTTTTTTGTTACATTTAAATTAAATATAATTCTATTATAATAATATAATAAAAACACACAACAAAATTACTAAAATTAACTAAAATTAAAACAAAAAATTCAAAATTTAAACAAAAACTATAATATTATATCAATGATAGTAAATTATGGACAATCAGCAGACCAAAAAAAGTATTTGTACACTTTTACATACATCCACTATAAATAAATAAATGTTCATCGTCTGTTTGATTACGTCTTTAATTGATTTTTCTGTACATTTCTGCCATATGTACATTAACTGACAGTCACCACTGATAAGCTACCACTAAATATTATAGAAACTTTCAGTAAAGTTGCTTTGCAACGATTTGTATCGTGAAAAACACTATACAAATAAACTTGAATTGAAAAAAACTTGAATAAATAAATATTGGTCAAAATAAACAAATAAACTGATTGATTAAAATAAATACATTAAAATAAATTAATAAAATTAAATACAAGCACATATGCCTACATACATACATAAAACCAAATTAATAAAAAATAAATACATGCATATATGCATGCATGCATACATACAAACATAAATCCCAAGTGTGACTTAAGTGTCCAAATATGTTTTGGGGCTGCATTAAAGCAAATTATGTTACTTTTACACACTATCCTTACACACTAAAATTTTAAAGACAGATTTTTACTATCAATATCACTTCATATTTGAACATAATATTAATGGAAATGTTAGTGGAAGCTGTGCTTCTTGTGTAGCCTTTAATGCATCTCTACTGACACACACACATACACACACACACACACACACACAGAGTGATAGTTAATGTTCTAATAGCTCTCATAGTGATGTACACTGCCATCTATGGACGCCTGCAGTGAAATGCAAACAAATGTTGAAACCACATATGACACAGAAGTCCATTTCTGTTGGTAATTCATATGATACGCAAGCAAACAAAACAACCCTTTTTAAGTTGGTGTCAGTAGCAGTGTGAAAATTCATATATTACTTTTGCTGCTGAATTGAAAATGACACTGCTCATTCGTCATTCATGTACTCGTGTGGAAGAAAATACTCATGTATTTTCTTCCACAAAATTCTTGTACAAGTTTTGGCTTCAGGGGAGAGAGAATAAAT